GCCCGACCGAACAAGTAATCGCGGTCAGAGGTCATCCCCGGCTAGCAGCACGTATATCAACACACACGCAGCACTACTCAACGCACAACCACCAACCCACCTCTACGCTCCCCAATAACGCACTGATGATGTCACCTTGATTGGTGATGAAACGTTCGCAGTCAAATTCTCCAGCAAGCCAACGACCATTCAGCCTAACTGAGTCACCAACATTTTCCTGCAAAGAAAAGATAATTGCCTTCACATAAATATCATCATCGTTCGAACAGTCCTCCTTCTGATTTACCTGAATGCCAACTGAAACTCTTGTTTATGATATTTTTAAGCAATTTGGGTTCTAGCAGAACACAAGGTTGACGGGAACTCGGCGGTTGTGCCTACCTGCTGAGATCTAAGGAGGGTAAAACCGGACGTGGGCTGTCGAAGAATCTTCGGCAACCTTATGAGCAGTGTATCAAGTCCTCCTACTGCTTTGGTCAATTATTCTCTCGGGTACACATAACACCAGACTCGACTCCCGCCCTCTCAGATCGCATCAGCAATCCACATGTTTGGCTTCGGGGATGGGGGGAGGGTTGAACCTCGGATATCTGACACGAAAATCGAGCGTGTTTCCTCCACTCTAGCACACGCTGGATGCACCTGTGTTATCCCGCCTGAACAGGCGAGCTTATTCATGTTTGAGTAATGTCCCAGTAACTGTTCTGGTTGTATCGATCGGCTGACCCGCCTGCCGAGTATTCAAATTCAGGTAGCGTAACGAAAGTCTGAAACCTGTTGGGCAAATTCTGGTCAGTTTTAGGTGGTTGGGGAAGCGGTAAAATGCATATCCACCCTAATTTTTTGATATTTATTTGACAATTGTCTGACATGGGCTGACTTTTGTTCCTGTTCTCGTACGGGTAAAATGCTTTGGCACTGAGCATAGATTACTTGTTGCTACTGGTAACTCTGAAGTGACATATTGGAAGCTAGCACAAATTCAGTAGTTACGAAAAGGGAGTGGTGAAATTGTCACGGAGTTAAGCAGTTGTCTTTAGATTCAAGTTTGATCTACGGATTCATAATCAAAAGCAGTCACCCGTTGAACGATTCATTACGAAACAGCTACTTTTCAAGCTTAAAACGCTTCTCAAAGGTTGCTGAAAATTTTTCGACTACCCAAGACAGGTTTTGCCCCTCTTGGGGTTCATCAGGTAGGCGCAGTCCCCGGGTTTCTATCAGACTTATGTTCTACTTGAACCCAAATTGCAAAACATTTGCAAACACATTTGGTGTTGCGAGAGATTCACCTGGAACCCAGCTGAATCTCTCGTTTATGATGTTACTAAGCTACTGTTTAAATTCTGAACCCAACTATCCAGGACTTTCAAGTATATCGGATCCAGTTCGTTCCACGCAGGTTCTCCATGTGTCAGTGGATATTAGCCGTGTCCGACAAAACAGTGCCTCTTTGGGAGCTGTATGAAATCAAAATGCAAGGAAACTTCCATCCTTGTTTCTCCATTTCCAGAGAATTCAAAAACCGAAACAGCGGAGAGCGCTATGCAGGAAAAGAGCAACAAAACTTCGACAACTGGTGTAGAGGTAAGGCTATTCGCATTTCTCAACGTTTCTGGTTCGAACCACATTATTTCTTGAATGGGTTTCGGGGTTCTGTGTATGCTTTATACCACTGATTTGTGCAATCAGAACTGATAAGCGAGAGAAATACCTATTGCGTTGAGATAACTGAATGAAAGTTCCAGCAATTACTAGTGCTCGTATTCGATCATGTAATCTAAGGAAATTCAGTTACACAACAAAGTTCAGTGGTGAGCAGATGAAGAGGAACAGGATCTAGGCAAGCTCGATAGTGCTACCGAATTCTTAGCTGTTTGCTACCAATGTGGACACTCTGTGGGAGGTTACGGCCATCCGCTCAGTCTTGGATTGATCAGCTGATACCTTGGTGCATTCAATTTTGTGTGGCCTTCGTTCGTGACACAGTGTACACCTCGGTTAGCATCACAAATCCTGCTAAAGTCTTATAGTTCCTTATTTAGGAATGCTCAATCCATGAGTTCCGATTTCCCTGCAAATAGTTGCTCCATTTTTATACGTATAGGCGTGACTAGATCATGAATGACACAGTCCGTTGCCGTTCGCTCATTCGGCTTCAATTCATATTTGGCAAGATCGGCAAAATACGCAATTTGATCACTTCAGCATTCCATATGGCCATATAATGCACATTCTGAATGAGACTTTAGAGAATCGGTCTTCTTCGCCAGGAGCCAACGGAAACCTGTTTACAAGGGCCAGATACGGTGGTAAGGCTCTGTCCGTTTTGGTATCACAAAAACGCGTTTGGATTAATTAAGCTACTTATTAGTGACAAGTAGCCTGCAACTTAAGACATTTTGCTATGAACCAAAGCTAACCTGGACGAAACTTAACAATTACTTCCATTAGTAAGCGAATTTTGTTTTCACTTCAGCTGAACCACTCGTTGCTCATTGTCTCTATCAACTGAACCTGATAAAGCGAGTCTCATCAGGTTTCATTTGGTGCGCTATTTGAGACCGCTGCACACTTTCCAGACGTAATACTACTCATAAGGTTGCTGAAAATTCTTCGTCAGCCCACGACCCTTTTTGAACTTCTTGCGGTTCCCGAGGTAGGCGCAGTCCCAGAAGAGAGTATCATGAATTAGAGATTCAACTGAGTCTGCCAGGACAACCATATTTGCGTGTAAATGAGAGTATTCGTCGAATTCATGGGAATTTGGGTTTGCGTAGAACATGTGTTTGACGAAAACCTTACGTGAGGTGCCTCGAAAAAGGAGAAATCTATTGTGCGGTATCGCACGGATTCCAGAAAACTTGTGAATATATGCTCTGGATTGCTCTCTTGTTATCAAAATTAGAAATAGCCACGCAAAAAATCTAAGATCCCTGACTCTCGTCAGATGTTTATGAGCCGTTAAAAATGAGGATGTTTGAGTACCACACGGCTGTTCAAGGACTTCCTACAGCCACTCCGCATTAAAGAAACGAAATTTGGCAGGAACTGATTACGCTGCAACAATTTTTCGATTCATCCACTGGTGGCAAAATCCTCTGAACACGCCTGTCATAGTTCTGCATGAAAGCTTTTACACGACGGACACTGAAAAGTACTTCCACGATTCCCGTAATAAAGTTCACCTTCCATCAGGTGCAGAGCGGAACTTGTTCACTAACCATGAACTACTCACATGATTCATCAGTAGTATCCATCTTTACACCAGTAGCGGATACATCTGTAGTTAAACTTTCTTGGTCTCCCCAGAAATTTAATCGAGATTATCATTTACAGTACGCAAATCCCGGCGTAAAATCCATTATAAACATTCTGTCTCTGACAAATATACTTGATAACATCGCAGATGAAGCTCACCCAAAGCTAGTTTAACTTTGCAATCCTGACCACAGGTACAAAGTAACCTTCTAACCTAGTAAACGTAAACCACGCGTTGAAAATACCTGAGAATGACATTACCAGATATGTTCCGTCATGTTGTCCTTTTGTGCATTTATACTTTAGAAATCAGAGGAGCAAACAGTAATGTCACCTCCACTACCCCGGGGTGAATACAAAATCGATTTTGATAACCTCGATGAATATTCTGACCCGTTTGGGGGAAAGGTGACCAACACGAAGACAAAGCCGTCAGTACCGAAACCAAATGATGTTGAGGAGGGGACGGAAGTTAAAAGAGATGACAAGTCTTCCAAATCGACCAAGGTGGAAGGTACTCCAAAAGGGAAGGCAAAGCAACCGAATACAAGTGGGTTATGCTTTTTGTGAGGAAATTTGGTTGTTTTGTTTTCAATTCACTCTCTGTTGATTTAACTGTAATGCGAGTGTCCAGTTTTCATTTGAACAGTTCATCAATTGTGGGGTTTGTAGGGTTGACTTTTTATGAATAGAGAATGAGAATGGTTCCGCTATAGCAACCTTCCGGTGCCTAACTGCCATGCCATCGGAAGGAAGCACGAGTGCTGGGATAATGCCGGGTTGCCCGAGCCTAGACAGGGGAACTCGAAAGGCAGAGGTCGGGTTCGAACAACGGACTTTTCGGTCAGTAAATTCGCGCTTCAACCACTGAGTCATCTCACCCCTAGCATTTTGTAAAAACAAAAAACTCAGAGATATGCGTTCGAATACTACTGAAATGCTTAGGCCAATTGTAGGAATATAATCCTATCAACTTCGGTTTATCTACACTGTTTAATCCGATTCAGAAAGTTGATCATTTTGCTTGGGAATACACTTCACAGTCAGCCTGATCCGTTTAGAAAAAAGACCATTCGTAATCGGGCAAATGTGTGCTCACGAATTCCATTTCATCACTGGTATATTTTCAACGACACAGGTGGAGCGAATTGCACTATAGAGCTTGCCATTCTGATTCTTACTGCTGTTTTGCTGTTGTCTGCAACGAAAGCACTCATCAGAGAGGTTGATACAGCCACCCCTGACGGCGGTCATTTCTAGCCACGAAACCTGAGCGCGTCGTAAAGCCAACTCAGATACTTTTGGATGGAGAGTGCCATCACTGTCGCAGCGGAAGATTATTTGGAAATATTGGCTCAGTTTGCGTGTAGTTTGCATCTATCTTCGGACTATAGCTTTTTACGCGTAGCGCATGTAAGCACAAGACCACTAAAACGTGTAAGGTTGAACTGTGATTAATCGAACGTGATCGTCATTCGAGTGTAGTCCAAGGAGCTTGAAATGCAGTCGTAAATTTTCAGCGTTTCTGGGTGCTGTTCCAATGTAGACAAGTTCTGTTAGCTACGCCGTTCCCCTACAATAAACTCGTACAAATGTGCAGGAAGTTACCTTGATGGAAACATGGTTATACAGTTTTTGGTAGGCTTGATTGCAACAGAGAATACGGTTCGGTTACTTCGAATAGCAATAAACATAAAAACACATTTGAGCGTATCAAAGGAGTTTGAGCTGAACACAAAAAATGTGTTGACTCTAAATAATGACTTTATATTTTCTCCGACGCAAGGTATTCTTTAGAAGAACAGCACGTTGCAGCATTCTTAATTGAAATTGAAAAGTAAAATATGAATGAATTGAATTACTTTTTCTACTGTTGTGTGCAAAAAATCGAGTTTTTAGTATTTTGGATATGTAGATGTCGGGTGCCCCTACACAAAATTACAGCAATGAACCTGCGTACCCAAACCAATTTAGGACAGTTGCTCTAATCCTTTGAACGAGAAATTTTAAAGCAGCTGCGATACATCCACACCTAAACACTACCGGATTTAAGTAGTTTAAGTAGTATGATCAGTTTGCCGTTCGGCCAAAAGCAGATGATTAGTAACGTGGGTTTCAGTCTACTGTGAAGGACTACCAGCTAGTAGGGAATTTACGCTGCGCATTCGTGGGAAATCCAGTTGATAAGCGCATGGATTCCAAGTTTTCAATATAAAATTTCATACATCAGCTTCTCTATAGAGGAAAATATTAGTAGCTCAGGTAGCGTAGATGGCCGTTGGCTTGTTCGATGAGCTGGACAATTTGATTGCAATCGAGGTGACATTGCGATGACATAACGCGCTGATGGTGGCACCCCTATTGGTGATGAAACGTTTGAAATCAAACTGCCCAGCTCAGCGAACAAGCCAATGACAATACAATTCTAGGTTTTGAAGATTATCAACAAAAACTCTCCATTTCGTCGTCTTGTTTAAAGCTCCACTAAAACTGTGGCTTACAAGTAGGATTAGCTAGCCCATCGAGACCGTGCATGTGTGAAACTGTGATGCTGAATCCAGGTGAATTAGGAATCGTTATCTGCTTGTCTATGTTACGAAAGCCAACCAAGATGTTACGCACAGTTACGCTCCTTGCGACCCACAAGAATACTTCAGTAGTCAAACATTGATACTTGGGATTTTAGTAGTGGGTGCTCTCGAAGTTACATACGCCGCTACTTCTAGACCGAACAAGATGCACAACATAAAGAGAACGGACGACAGAAACCAAATGTTGTCACGTAGGAAACTACTCACAAGGTTGCTGAGAACTCTTTGACAGCCTTTATGAAAATATACTGCGATTTCTCGAATATCATGCCAACTGAAACATGAGGCGGCCTGTGTACAGCACATTCAGCTGGAAAATATCATAAACGAAAACCAAATTGATCTACAAATGAGTGTATTTCTCGAAATGAAGAGGCACAACACTTCGGAACTTCTGACGCCAGAGTAAGCAATCAGATTGCTGGCTTCCCTACAGTGCGAGTTTCAGCAACCAAATTGGATGAATATTACATCAACCATTGGATGACTGCTTTGGCCAGTCTTCTGAGCCAGATAATGCAACAAAACTTTACCCGCAGGCTTGGTAAAGGAACACGTTGTGAAGATCTTGGTGCCGTTAGTAAGCCCAATCCATTCTGTATTCCCCAGCACTTAATTTAAAATTCTGGGAAAATGAAGCAATCACGGAGCTCAACCTGATCGAAAAACCAGAGCTGTGATAAAATTGTTATCTTGGAATTTTGTGAACCAGCTCCACTCTGCTGAGGTATTCGCTATCGGAGGTCTGTTTTGCAAAATTGAAACTTCGTTGTCATTGCATCTAAACTTCACTCGTCACCTGTACTGCAGATCGAGTTTTATTTCACTTTCCAGCGTTCTAATATATATATATATATATATATATCGAGTGAGAGAGGGTGTGGCCCTAGGGTTCGGAACAGTACAAAAGTGATCCGTTTTGCTTTGCTTTTTGTGTTTCTGGCAAACTGACGAAATGCAAATTGTGGCCGTAATTTACTGCGGAAGGCTGTTCATTGAATTGCTTTTTACCAAGCCCACTGAAGCATCGGGCTGCCTTCGCAGATAGTGAGAGACTGCATGAAGACCACTTGAATGATGCCACCGATAGCTGTGCCTCAGCTGCGAGGTACTCAGAAACTCAGCTAGTGGTCGTCGAAGGCAATAGTTGGCCTCTTGATGGCATTTCGGTCGTAGATTTTAGTTTGGTTCTGGTTAGGAGTATATCTGAACTAAATGGAGACATGATGATGAATAAACTAACTGTTTGCGCCTTCAAGAATACCCTAAAAAACTCAGCTTATTGAAATTCTTGGTGAGCAATTTTGCAGTCAGTGTCTGTAGGTAGAAAACTAAGAAAAAACAGAGTCATCACAACCGAAGTGGGGCTATGCGGATTGGAGTTTTCTGAGAAGAACTAGGCAGAAATCACCTCGGAATAAAATGGCCTTTTGAATCTGTGTTTGGGCATCAGATGTATTCAGCAGTGACTCAGAGTTCGTCCAGTATGACGGACACTTTGTGCCTGATGTGCAAGTCTTGATTGTGCTAGCGCTTACCGCGTCTTGAAGAGCACTCAACATTGTTTTCCTTTCTTCGGTTGTTGGTCTTTAGACGCGTGTTTTCATACCAGAAATTCTCACATACGTTTGGATTCGTCTCGTCTGACTGGAACTGTTGTTGTTGGCATGAACTCGAATGAGACGTTTCCCTTATATCTCCCATATTCTCCTGTTACCCTTTCGCATTCGTCGCTTGCATTCACTTTTTCTGTTTGTGACCTTGCTCTTCAAAAATAAATGACAATGGATAAGCCTAGAGCTTGATGAAGCTAAGAATTGACTGAAGGGGAAGATCACAGGTGCGCAATGAAATTTGAAGTTGATAAGAAACGTTGAGGTTTTGAGGTAGAATAAAGCATACCATAATGCGTGCTGTTGTATTTTTTTTAAAATATGAAAACTCTAAGGTGGGTGGGGCATAAAAGCAGACAGGGAACTTCTGGCAGTGTTAGTAACGAATCTTCAAACGTATAAAATCGCCGTTAGAAAGGACACGTATTTGAAAAGCGACCCCTAATACATTGAAATATGTACCTTGCACTCTTACAGCAAAACGGACGCCCGAACTGCTGGCTACCAATACAACAGGATCCTCTCCGAAGGAACGTTTGGAGGTGAGTTAAAAAAGTAATTAAATTCCCGCTTGCACATTCGCGTCACCTTATGCATAGGGGGTGAAACGACTTCTTCCACGTGGAGCATTTGCAAGAACTCTACCTGAAATACCGGTTGACGATAACACCGAATACTTTGTGGTGGATTTTATCTCGGTCCTTAATGTCATCGCCAGTAATAAACTTCCCCACGGAGTTCCTAGGCGTCCTTTAAGAAGACGTTTGCCCGAAAAAAAAACAAATTATGTACTGAAGGATGTATTTAAGTTCACGACAGAGGAATTCCTCATGTGGTTCTCGGACATGGGCAATTTCTCTGAAGGCCATCAAAGGTCGTTGATTATGAAGCTTATGTAACAAATGTGGCACAAGAATCCAAACCAAAGCCCTTGACTGCATGGCTGAAGGTACAGTAAAGGGGACCTAGGGTTCATCCAACTTGAGGGAGGCAAGGTACTGCCAACATGGGAAAGTGGAGCAATGGGAATCAACGCCGTCGCAAGATGGAGTGCGGAAGTGACCCAACGAAGCATCGTGGGTAACATTTTGCCAAGTATCCGCGTGCTGCAAGCATAGCTGGGAAAAGTGTAAAAAATCAACCAACAAAGATGCAAAGCTGGAAACGCTGGCGTGAAATTTCATCTTCCGGATTTTTTGGATTCAACTGCACTCAGAAATGTTCTAAAATGATGACCAGCCATCACGAATAATTTTACTCGTCCGTCCGTGAACGCATTAGATGGCTCAAAGTACCGAATCAGCCCGAGAACCAGATGAATTACTCTGTAAGGATCTTTAATAGGCAAGAAATTCTTTCAGTGCGAGTTAATTAATGCGACTGGTCTATGGCAGACAGAAGGTGCTTCAAGACCTGGCTTCAAGTACAGGCATGAATGAACCGATTTGACTGGGTCATTCCTATCGGCTGGAAGATGTGCTGTTCGGGTGGTTAGGCGAAATTCACCCGACCCAGATGGCCTCGACTTTACTGTTTCTCAGCACAACTATTTGCTTCTCCTGATAGCCCAAAATGGCTTGGAATGAACAGGTATTAGGCTTCTACATCTGGACGTGAAATGCCACGGGTTCGTGTCGATCTCAAAGCAGTAGGACGTTTGAATAACCCATTCACGGCCGTACTGCAGAATGGGTAATCGAACTAGATGCTTAACATACCCCAACTTTTTACCCTCGGAGAGCGGGACCGATGGTACTCTAAGTCACGAGTTGGAAAATTAGCTGTGTGCGGGTTAAAACAAGGAACGACTGGCGCACATCCATTTGGACGGACGCGGCTAAAGTCCACACTCAAAAGTGGGGCCCAGGGCTTTCGATTCAGAAACGTCGATAAAAGGAGGGTTGAAGAGACCGGGAGATCGGAGATAACCGGTGTTTTGTTAGCACAGTCGAAAAGGTATAGACATAAACAGTCCTGGACGGAAAAGCGTGAACGTCGCTTGGATAGAGCATCAAAAGATGAAACGCGTATAAAATGTCATGGATAACCGTGGTGTACTAAATTGGCGAAAGGCGGGAGTAGAAGAGGTAACTATTGAATTGACAAAGGGGTTGGGAGCTTTTCAACTATCTCCGACACAAGAAGCTGTTGGCAGAAGCGTAATTGATCGTCTTTGGGATCCGTCTGCAACACCCAACTTTGCGTTTGGGCTGTCAAACAATGAAGATTAAATCGATAGTCCGCGGTCAGCTTTCTCCGTAGCGCTTCACTGCCCAACGAGAGATGTACAAATTACGGTTCCGTTTGAGATCCGGGGAACACTGGTGTTTTTGGCTACCTGGTGGGGTAAGTAATATATCCCTTTGGAGGCGGGTGTTAAAAAATCTCCTTCTAGATGCGGCTAAGTAAGGCACCCAACTTTTCAGATTATGGTTGGTGAGCCATGAAGCGCTAACGAAAAACCAATTGCTAGCCAGTTAGCCCACATCATGGTCAATGATAGACAGACTCGGGCTTTCGTCAAACAATTAGAGGGATGTACGAATTAAGGGCTTGGTTGACCGTTCAGGATGCTAGAAACTGTGCGGACATACCACCCGTCGCCAGTGACATACACGGCTGGACAAGCGCGAAAAATCCGCACAGGAACATAATTAATAGCATTCGCGAGACCCTTAAATAATCAATTTGCAATGACCCCATTTGCTTCGGGTCGAGTAGATATTGGTTATCTATGACCATAATGCTTGATGAGGCTTTCTTAACGACATTTCCGGGTCCAAAGAGGTGCCTGAATTCCGGAATAAGACGTGCATCTAAGATAGCGAGCATGTGTTGTTTGATGTAGCGCAAGAATATTTAATTAGCATGTGATCGGTAATTGCTTTTGATTGCTTACCTAAATGCAATATTTTGGACGCCTGCTGCAGGACCTAACTCCTGATGTTATTTTCGCCGAAGGGGTTAACTGAGGCGTTCGCAAATCCTGACTTAATTCAGGCTCCACTCGGCAGTTGCGCCCAGTCGGATATAATTTGCCTTTGTGAAGTCAATCGAATTCAAGGCTGTGCAGCCCATCGTGGAATGCGGAATTAAGAAAAACTCGAACGCGCCCAATTTTACGGGCTCATTTTAACTTTATATATGAAACAGCAACAAAACAGCGCGAAAATCGATGGCAGAACACTGCATAACGCAGTACGTAGCCTACAAACGAAGAGAGGAAACCGAATAGAGAAGGCTTGATCGGGAATGTACAATCTGAATCGGCTACGAACTGAATTGTGAGGAGTCAGCTAGGGAGGCGAAATCAAGCGCTGCGAGCCAATTCAGAAATACCGTAGGTAGCTTGTGTGCCACCCATGTAAACCGGCCTCGACCTTGACAGGGCTCATTTGAAAGTTCAGTCCTCGCAGATCATTGCGACACCTATCTTTCTTTGCTGAGGGCTAATCCACAGTTGGTCGCCACGAAAATAGAATGGACGAAAATAATGGTGCTTGCCTGGACTTCTCAATGTCATATGTGCACCGATAGCAGTCATAAATAATGGATAGGATTAGCAGCCTCATTTGAAGGCACGTTACGGGCTGAACGTAACTTACGATCGTGGAGATGGCCTTCCTATGATTAGACTTGTTTGACAAGTTCCTGCCCAGCCGTCAAGATCTTAGGGCTTGACTGCTCTGAATCAACAATAATCCAGAAGAGACCACTGATTGTTTCCGTGCAAACCAAAGCTACCAACCATGAACGAAAATTCACCTATACCCCTGTCCATTATCTTAAAAGCCCAGCATCTAGTGGCATCTAGTGTTAAATTAGGACTGAGCTAAGCAATCAGTCAGGTCATCCTCGCCCCGCTCAGCAAGTAGCTACCGCCAAGTATTTGGTTTACTCCGGAAGTCGGTATTCGAGTACACACAATTGAGTGTTGAGTGTTTGCAACCTGATGGCAAGTCGCAATCATGGTAAAGGTGCATGGGTGAGCCTTTGGAACGACTGAGGCACTTCAAATGCCATTTATCATTCTGGGTCAGGGTGCTTCAAAATAGTGTACACTATAGAATTTAAGCGAACATAACGAAAAATACTTAGGATCGGGTCAGAGGCAAGTGAGCCACCAAGATGTTGGCCTAGTTTCTGATCGCAAAGGACGGGTAGGTGATGGATATGGAGGTAGGTGAATGGCTCTGAGTGGTATTGGCAGTGAAGTAAAGTAGTATTGAGCTAGACTGGTAATCTTCAGGTGGATACGTTTAACAAATTGCCCGCTAAATTGGTACCGTTAGAGAAAAGTAATGTAGGCAGTGTCTTTTGGTCTTGAAATGTTTACATACGAGCATTAGGAATCCCCTGAGATGCCTCTGTCTGAAAGGGAACGGATTAAAATGGAAGATGAGAGAAGGGGAGGGCACTGGCTTCAAGAGATGCGTTTTGTGGCTGCACGCCAAAAACTGTTTAATCAGGCCTCTCTTTGTAAGCCGGGGATGTCGGAGGTAGCTTTACTGTACTTGCTAGGAGCAAATAGGGGTTATCAGTAGGGCCGAACAGTGGACAAACAGTCGACGAAAATAACTCATAGGGTAGATGACCCACTTGATTGACTGACGGCATTCGATAATGCAGCAGGACCCTTTAGGTGCCCAATTCCCCTTCGACTAGCCGTCTCATTACCGGACGGCGATCATACAGGAACTTAGAAAGCCTAGAGAGCTAATGGCTTTGTTCGAAATGATAAGAAGTGACCGAGAGATGGTTCCTCTGCCTCCTAAACGAAAGCGACTGAACAGCGTGCGCCTCATGTACTATTTGTTACAAACAGATACAGTCATCTTACCAGCTACTTCGGATCCCTCGAGTATCCTTCTGTGCTGAAGGCCGCCTGCTGCGTTTATAGTGCATCGATTCGTAACGCAAAATAGCGTTGTTGCTTCGATTACTAGATAAATGCGCAAATCCTACATAGCTATCCTTCATGTGCTCCTTAGCGCCCTATCAAACCCCGTGAAGAATGTGAAAGACACAGCCCCCAATTTCTCAACGAACATATGTGTAACTGATTCTGAAGCCACAGCACCGTAAGTCAAAGTCGAATGCGCGCCAAAAATTCAGAGGGGTGATTGACTAAAGCGAGGCACAATAAAATGAAGGTAGATGAAAGTAGCTTTTGGTTGGCGCACATATGCAACAACATACATTCTGATGGAAAAAGTTTTATTCCACCAGCAAAGGTTCCTGAGGTAAGAACATTGTGTCTCTAAGACTCGCGCGAAACAAGACAGGCCAAGCACAGTACTTAAGGACCCCTGTTGGCTGTGTTCGAGAGAAGGCATAGAATACCCGATACCGTAACTATGGAGGCCTGATTTTCAAGAAAGCTGGCATGCCAGAGAACACAGTAGGTCGAAAAACTCTTAAACATCCAGTAAAATATAGAGTGGAAGTTAGTCAGTTGTTTTGGAATAGTTAAAGATGCAATTCTGAGGGAAAGTCTGATCTTGGAGAATTCATTTGAGATTGAGAGGAATCTAGAGATTTTGCAGGGGAGATTCGAGGTGGAAAACCCGTGTAGCGCGGAATGTTTATGGCTGTTTGTGGTAGGAACCTTTGGTTCGTCAGAGTTTACCAACAGATTTCTCCGTAGTCCTGTTGAGAGGCACGACCAGTGGAGCCCCAAGTTAAGCAACATGTACTCGAGAAAAGTGGAGGGTGCAAGTGCGTGCAGTGAGGTGTCACAAAGGGGAATTATAGGGTGAACTAACTCAGGAACTGAGAGGTCGCCATGATAGCAGCGGGTTAAGTTTTGCTGGTAGCTTAACGTGGGAGGTTCGTACTAGAAAGGAAAGAGGGCTGTATGGTGCGTGTTACACACATCAAATTTCGGTATAGAAAAAATGGGAGGCATAAGAATATTTCTTTATTTCCATGTGCGACACTTATACTCCACCTCCGGGGTTCTCTAGAATAGATAATCTAGATTCTCTGGACTTCTCTGAACTTAACCGTTCTTCGCTCCCCTTGACAGGTGAGTTGTATTCTTAGTATCACCTTTAACCTCGTGTACGCGACAGTGATCAATAGAACGGCTGGCTCGCACGTCCGTTGACGTTTCTTGTTTGACCAAGCGCACCAGGCGATCGGGTGGCTATCCAGACCGGGTTTCACGGTAATAAGAAGGCATCAAGAGACTGTGGTCCACAAAAAGTTGCCTACGGAACAACTTGATAGCGCCTCTGGCATCACAATCATTTCAAAAGATACTTATAGGATAATAGGTAGACCTCCTTTCACGCCCACAAACCGTGTTGCTTTAAAAGCATCTGTTTGAAATTTACAATTGACCAGTGGGCTTTCTTGTTATGTGCTGGGCAACAATATTCTTTTCACTGAAGTATATTACCCGACCAATGTGCCACATTTGTACCTGCTTGGCCCGGATTAGATCGGTAGACTGAAGCTGATGGGAATTTCCCTGAACACTGTATGCAAACTTGTATATCCTGATGTCTCTCAAACCTCAAAACAAACAGAGTAACTTTTGATACCTTATTCGGGTGCATTCAACGATACCCTCGGAGAGTATTCAAAGATGAAAGTCGTTCCGTTTCTAAGTCATAAGACAAAACCTGCTTTCCGCCGAAAGAGGCCTGTTCCATATGCTGTCCTGCCTGTAGTTGATCGACATCTACACAGACTGCAAAACGCGGGAGTCTTTCAACCAATCAGCCATTCAGAATAGGCAGCACCGATTGGGTTAGTCAAAAAAGCCTAACAGCAAAGTTAGGATATGTGCAGACGTTTTAACTGGTCTCAACGCGACACAAGACAATCATCAATACCTGCTGCCGTTTCCAGATAAATTGTTTTTCAAGCTGAACGGTGGAAAATGTTTCGCCAAGGTGGGTCTATCTGATGCGTATTTGCAGGCTGAAGTGTCAGACGAGAGTAAGCACCTGCTTACGATCAATACACATCGTGTGGTTTTCCAATACAGCCGACTACCATTGTGTGTCAAGTCTGCGCCGGCAATATTCTAGCAGCTAATGGACACCATGCTACAAGGACTATCATTCGCCGTTGCTTAGTTGGATAATTTTACCATCATCGACACTGGCCCCGAAAATCTCCATAATCGTCTCGGTCAAGCGCTGGACCGAATCCAAGACATTGGATTCCATCTCAGAAGCGAAGTGTCAATTTTTCGTGGATTCCATCGAATACCTCAGATTCATGATTCGATACCGGACTGCAAAACATAGATGCCATCAGACTGATGCCTTCGCCCAAGAATTTACCTACATTGGGGCCATTACCGGGACTCAGCAGTCATTATAGTGCTTTTGTGCCAGCAAAGGATGACGACCGTGTTTCATTGAACCGTCTGCTACTCAGTGAATTGGGACGCTGATTGCCGGGACAGTTTTCATAACATCAAGACCATGCATGTTTATGACCTAATTTTGATACATTATGACCCGCCCCGTGACAACAACCTGATCAACCAGATGAAATCTTCGATCCGAGGCAACGTTTGTTGGCTTTACATTTACAGCCGAATCGAAACGGTAGTCAAATCTTGCCACTGGTTTGCTTTGGCTTCAAAATCCCCTAGGAAATGTGAACCCAATCTTGGCCGGTACCACAAAACGCACGGTATTGGATGCGTGTGGGCTATGCGGGTTCCGTGAACGTTGAAAGTTTTCTCATTATCGTGGACGCTTAGAGCAAGTGCTCGGAGATTTTTCCCATGAAGACAACGACTACCACAGCAACCATTAACAAGTTGCAGGAAGTCTTTAGTCGTTTTTGACTATCCTGAAAAGCTCGTATCTGACAACGGGACAGTTCACGTCGTCCAATTTCACGGACCTCTGTCTCACCAGTGGGATTAAACATGTTAGAATGTCCCCAAATCACCCACAACCAAACGACATGACAGGACGACAAAAGATACTTTGGAATGAGCCTTGCTTGAGGCGGATGGACAAGGAACCACGGCAACTATCCTTCAGCAATTCCTCTTACTGTACCATCTGAATCTGAATCCATCCACATCGGAGGGCAAATCGGTTACAGAGGCACTACTCTACCCCCCTACTCGAAGCACCTCTGATCTTTTGAAGCGTCCAGAGAGCAAGGTGGCATTATCAAATCAGAAATGGAGTCCTGCCATAATCGCAAGCATGATGCAAAGTGGTGATATTTTGACATTGGTTAGAGCGTATTGGTGAAGGATCGCCATGGTAATCGCATACCCTGGCATCAAGGCAAAATCAGTTGGCGAATCGGAAATGTCATCTATGATGTTCTCGTGGGTGCCAAGACGTGAGTTCGTCGTGCAAATCAGTTAAAATAAGCTTATTCACAGCCCACCCAGAGATTGAGTGCGTTGCCTTTGAACATTTTAATGGAACACCTGGACATAATCAGAGAAAGGACAACCAACACGCAGCTTGCGAGGCAGCTGCCAAAAGCACCTGTGTACCAACAATCTCGAAGGATGACGACAGAAGAAGCGCTTATCACGCTCATGTTAATCTGAGACAGAAGACTTATACTGCTCAACTTCAGGGGAGAGATGTTAGAAGAACCACCTCCGAACGTAACGGGGCTATGCAACACATGGTACCAGAGATATCGATAAAAAGCCAGGCACCTTCTCCTGTTCCAATATTCTATTCATATGGCAAAGCAAACGGCAATAATTTGTATCGTTTGAGAAGGTGTTTGAGACCACATTACTCCGGCTTTCAGTGTTACGCCGGAGTAGTGAGCTCAGGAAGGGTGTGGATCCAGCAGAGAACGTTTAAATGCACATACGTTAGTGTATCGCGTACATATGTATCATCCGTAAAATGTGCTGGAGGATGGGCACATAGGAAGCAAGCTTCAGAGTCGTACCGAACGATTTCGCTCTCTTTGACATCAAGGGGACGCCAGTTCGTCGGGAGCAGGTGATGATTTGAAAGCAGTTTTGCGTATCGCCACATTCTCCAAGGTAGTGCCCAATGTGGAGAAACTGTGGACACTGTGGAGAGAGCAATCAGCGTGTTGAGGTTTTCACACCAATGTTCAAATATGGGGGTGACGGAGTGAGATGCTTAAGCTTTATATTGTTCATTTGTATAGAGAAGACCAAGGATGAAGAGGCGATTACCTCCTGTAAGATGGGTTGC